TGTTATCTGCTACAATCCCCCACCCTCTAACATCAGAATCTACAATCTCCCTCAAGAGCTTGTGCTTAGACTATCCATCCTCAACTTAAAGTCAGACAGATAGAGGCACGGGATCTAAATACTGCCCAAGAGAGACAGAGAAGCAGAAAGAGAAACAACGGAAAGACCAGAGGCACAATCGGAAGCAGAAAGATTTGAGGACAGGGTGTGTTTCCAAGTTATGGGGGTGGGTGTGCTAACAGAATCTGTGTTTTCATAATGATCGCTGATGAGGCGGCCTTGACAAAAAGGCAAGAATAATATTTTACTGACAGATGTGCGTTGTTTCTATCTTCAGAAAAGCCAGGAGAGTGGAAGTTCACAAGTAAGTGCTCTTTTCTTTCACCATAGCTTTCTTGACTCAAGCCTAAAACTCCAATCTTCTTCCTCCATGGGACTGACAGGGTAGATGGTGGGGCAGGCCTCAGCAAACAGTTGTCCGCAAGCATAGCAGAACTTCCAATAGCTTAGGAAAAAGCAGTTGAAGAAGATCTTTGGACAAGATGCCCAAGTGGTCTGGTGCCTCAGACCTTGGTCTCTAAGGGCCTTGGTAACTACAACCTGTTCCATACATTACCTGCTGCCCAGCAACTGGAGCAGGAGGCGCTGCGTTACTCAGCCACTGAGCGATGCCAGTTCAATCCGAGTGCCCCCTTTCACATTGTTTTAGCTCTTCTGACCCATTTCTGCCTCCCAGAAATGGAGCAAGTGTATTCTGAAGACATTTGGGATTTCAAAAGAGGGGTCATGCTGCCTCATCCTCCCCAGAGTCCCATTCCCTAGGGATGGTTGCTAGTCTGAAGAATTGTGGTTTTATCTGTTTTTTGCTTCTTGTTTCCTCAGTGATCCAGGCATCCGATGTTGGTAAGGAATTTTGTGAATTCTTTCAAGACTTTGCAGCACAAGTAGGTGGAGAAATGTTAGGGTGGAAGGCAAAGACAAGGGCTGAGATCCAGGTCCTGGGAGCAGAGGCACTTACAGGGAGCCAGTCTCTCCAACACAGACTGGATGTGTTCTTAGGATGCCCAGGCCCTGAACAGCCAGGCTACATTGCTATCACTGGCTATGGATTCACTACTCTGGAGTGACTGTCACTCCATTGTTAAAGTCAGTCTTTGTCCACAAACTCAAGGGAATAAGAAACAGGCCTTCTTCTCAACTTTTAGCACGGTTGAGAATGGAAGTCAGCAGTGCCCATTTAGGGGATGAAGCCTGGGGTCTTGGAACGATTAACTGTTGGGTGAGATGGTAACATGGGGCCTGGCCCACCTCCTTGCCCTACCCCTCGTGTCAGGGTTTTACAATAATTTCATAGCCATGGTCCTTGATAAAGAGAAAAAGCCAGATACCAGGAGCAGAGCACAGAGTCCTGAGGAAGGCAATTCAGAGAGAACACGCACTGGGTGGGAAGATGCCAGGTAAAGGGCTGGCTGTCACATTGACTATCCCCCTAGGGGAGATGCATGAGGACTTCAAGACACTCAAAGAAGAGGTTCAAAGAGAGACCCAAGAAATGGAGAAGCTGAGTCAAGTGGGACAGAGCTCCCTGCTCAGCTCACTCAACAAACTTCTAGGAAAGAAAAAGGAGCTCAAAGACCTTGAGCTCACGGTGAGGACCCAGTAGGAAAACAGGAGGTGGGGAGAAGGAGGGCGTGGGTGGTGGAGAGCCATTGCAGCTGGTGAAGGGGACCTGATGTTAGCTCAGAAGCCAGTGGTGATGGGAATTCACAGCAGAAACCTTTCCCAAGGC